TTTCGAGATCGAGAAAGACTATAAAGGAAGAAAGTAAAAGAAAAGAAAAGGAATGCCAGGACTCCATAATGGCAGCTGAAAAGGCAAAACAAAAATACTTTCATCTCTGCGATGATTTGGAAAAGTTGAAAGCGTCTGATCCAAATAAGAAGTCTTTTTCATTGAAGAACAAATCGGCAGAACAGCAGGAAGATGATTTACAAAGAAAAGTGGATGCTTCTGATCAAGATTATAAGCTGAGAGTTACAACTTGTAAAAAGTTAAAAGACGAAATCTTGATGATGCACAGACCAGCCAGTTCGAAGAAGTTAAAAAACTTAATTTTGGAAATGGATATTGCTATGAATGTTCAATTGCAAAAGTATGCAACGTGGAATGAGAATTTGATTATGAATTCAGGTGTTTTAATTTCACCCTTGAAACAAGAAGGTTCATCAAAAACTTCTATGAAAGCATTGGCATCTTCTATCGATAATGAAAAAGACTTATATAATTATTTGATCAAGTATGAAAAGCAGCCTTCAAATAAATCACTTGTCCCAGTTGAATACAGAGTGCATCCTTCGATAGCCAAGACACAGAAGCCTAGCAAACCCTTCTTGAATAACAGCAATAGTACCAATAATACAAACGTTGCTCCTGGTTTTAATAGTTCCGGCAGCAACCGTAATGAGAGCATAACAAACAATACCAAAGGGATAAGCAATGCTAATGTGCCCAATAACACTACCAATTCATCCTATTCAGCCCCATCAAATAAAAACCCACAAGCATCTAAGCTCAATTCTGATTCACATGAACACGCCGATAGTGACCCAAGCAACCAGACATACAGTTCATTGGATCCAGCAAGCAGCCCTAACACTCCCGATTTGAATGGTCCAAGATCATTAAGTTCGCAACTAAATCAAGCAACACAACCAACATTTGGTGCTTCAATCGAAAATGTAATTCAATTTGCAGGTATTGATAATGTTCCATTGGTAGTCAAAAAATGTATTGAAGTGATCGAGAATTACGGCATGGACATCGAGGGAATCTATAGAAAGAGTGGTAATGTTACTACAGTCCAAAACTTGAAGGATTCTATTGATCAAAAATTCACTAATTATTTGTTGATAGGTAATAATATCGATGCAAATAATGTATTGGATGCAGACATATATTGCATTGCATCATTATTAAAGTGTTATTTTACTAGTTTGCCAGAGCCATTATTGACCAAAGAATATTATCAGTCGTTTATTGAAACAGTCAAATCCTTGGATGAAACCTATATCGCCAAAAAATTACATCACTTAGTTTTTAATTTACCTGATGGTGCCTATTTTACATTAAGAGCTTTGATATTCCATTTAAATAAAGTTGCAGCTGATGAAGCTCCAAATAGAATGACAACTAAGAGTTTAGCCATAATATGGGGACCAGCATTGTTGAATGATAATTCAATGAGCCCTCAAGATTTAAGTTATAAGAGTAAAGTTGTTGAAGAGTTGATGCTTATTGCTAATGAAATTTTTGATACCGATGATTAATGCATTTCTATTTCACTGTTGGTTTGTATTTCTATAATAGTTTGAAATGCATTATTGTCTTGTCTTGTTTGTAATTAAATATATTCCTAATTTTATATACTAATACATTAAGTAAGGAACATTTTGCTTTTGTTTGTTATCCTCACTAGCACTATTATTACCATTATTCTTGTTAGCATTACTGGAAGTATCATTACCAGGACTTTGATAGTTATCTCGTACATGCCTGTCGTTGTTCCTATTCGATGAGAAGTTAAACCTAGGTGGCTTCGTGACTTTATGATTCGTGCCAAGGTTTTTAACTTTGAAGTTGTTTTTGTATGCTAATTCTTTTTCGGCTTCTTGTCTCTTTATTTCCTCCAATTCCAAATCTTTTTGGCGTTTTTCTTCTTCTAGTTGTTTTGCATATTCTTCATCACTTATACCTAATAATATTCTTTTTGTATTCTTTAATTCGTCTTTTAATTCCTTATGGAATTCTGGAGAGTCTATTATTTTCTCTTGAATATCTTTATCCACTATACTCAATAAGCTATTATCGTTTTTGGAATTTACAGTTTTTTGTTGCATATGATCATTTATAATACCACCCTGTATCAATGCTCCCATTTTACCCTTATTCTTCATTAGTATTGACGGGTCATTTTTAATCTTATTTTCGACCATTAATTTCAATTTCAATAGCAAATTTGAATGAGTTTCTGATTTTTTAAAATCTTCTAATAATAGTTTTCTACGTTGATCGAACGACCCGTTCTTCTTATAAACTGTTGTAAGCTGCTTTGGATCATTTATTTCTGTTATATTTGGGGTATTAGACGAATTATCATCTGTATTTTCTGTCATTTTCATTAGTTATGTTTTAAATATAATTTATTTAACATTCAATTTTCTGATTCCTTTTAAATCGCGATAACAAAAAAAGTTAAAAAGACTATTCTATTAACTATTATACCAACTTAATACCCGAACGAATAGAAATTACAAGTATAAGACATACTATGACCGAAGAGACTAGGTCAGAAGTTTTAGATTTTGGTGGTGCAAACTCTTCAATTTCTAAAACCCCGACTTCATCTCATTTATCTAATAATCACTCGAGGCATGAACCTAGTCTTCGAAATGATAATAAGCGAAAAAAGCCGAATATAACACAGGTTAACAAATCACACTTGTCAGCTCAAAAAGAAAAGGTTAAGGTACTAGTACATCAGGTTATAGACTTAATTTTACAAGAATCAAAGCTCGAATATAGCTTCGATATATACTACAGGGGAGTGGAATCCTTATGCAGATTTAAGCATATCGAGCAGTCAATATTGGCAGATCATTTGAAATTAAAATTGGAAGACCATTTCCATTATCTTATAAAACCTGATATCACAAGAGTCTTAGAGGATAATCTGATAACATTAAATGAATCAATAACGAAATATTTGGAAATATATGAAAAATGGAAACAAAAACTTCGGTTGTTGAGTAAGTTGTTTCTTTACATGGATCGGTGTTACTTAATGCAACATCCTTCTAGGAAAATGATCTTAGAATTTGGGATGACGTTGTTTGTTGAGGAGCTCTTAGCGGATAATAATGAAGGCACTAATAGATTAGCAGATATCACTCTTCGCAAGCATATACAATTGTTAAAAAAAGTAGGCGAATTTGAAGATGTCAGTGATTTAAATCTCGCTAGACAACTATCAACGGTGTTAGTGAAATTGAATTTCAATCACCAAATAAAGCTACATACTGATCTTATAAATCTGATAATATCGCATTATAATTCATTAAAAGACTTATGGATTGAAAAGCCTGAAACTTACATACATATAGCTTTAACAAAGATATCAAGGGAAATGACCTTTTTTAAGGATTGTGGTTACGAAAGAGAGTTTTTAATAGAATTTTTACTGAAGCTCAAGTGGATTCTAATATTTCAAAATTTCAATACAATAATTAAGAGCTGTATACCCTTTATGGTACAAGATAAAAACTTAAAACAGTTCGAAATCATATATGATTATTGTGGGAGATCCTTAGATGACTATCAGCTAGATGCGATGTCAATTTTTGTTTATGAATGGGGTCAGCATATAATACACTCCATTAAGGAGCTAATCGATAGTAATAAATCAAACCTGAAAAATATAGTTCCATTATTAGTTGAATCCAATTTGAAATACAAAAGCATTGCTGGTGATAAATTTAACAAGAATGAATTATTTGAATTTGAAGTCAGAAAGTCCTTTACGAAATCGTTCAATGAGAAGAAGATTAATACTTTGATAATATTCCAGTTATGTAAGTATTGTGATTCATTCTTCAAAAATATTAATAAAAAATCGAACAAGGATGAAAGTACAAATTTATCCTTCAATGAATTTCAACAAAATGTATTAATTATCTTCAAGGCTCTAAATAATAAAAATGACTTCATCTCTCATTACAAGAAGGAGTTATCGAAGAGATTACTTTTAGGAAAATCTCCAAACTATAATCTAGAGAGGAAGTTAGTAGGATCATTCTTGAAGCTTATTGGTGATGGAGAAGAAACTGTTGGATTACAAATAATGTTTAAAGATCTAGAGTTGTCAAAAGAAAAATACTCTCTGATGACTTTGGATGACAGCCCTGTTGATTTTACTGCTTTAGTCTTAGAACAAAAGCATTGGCCTGAAATGCCTAAATTGGACTCAGATATTATGCTACTGCCACAGCTTACAACCATACTTGATAATTTTACAGCGTTGTATCACAATTCGGACGAAAAATTAAAAAATCGTACTCTTGATTGGAGTCATTATCCTTTGCATCAATTAACCATCAGAGCAGACTTTGATAATGGCGAGAAGGAATTAGACGTAAATTTATTACAGGCAATTGTCATTTTATTATTCAATGATAAAAACAGTTATACTTACGACGAAATATTAGCGCTTTCGAATATAAGTGATAAGTTATTAAAAAAGGTACTAGGGTCATTATCGTCTGATAAATACAGAATTTTACTTAAGGATAATGCAACGTACTCCTTCAATTCAAAATTTACTGATAAAGCAACAAAAATAAGAATTCCTCTTTCAAAAGATAGAGAAATATCAACCGGCTTGTTTGATAGCGACACAACAAAAGTTTTTGAAAGAAATAGAAGTATTGAATTTAGAAGTGCCTTAGTTCGGGTGATGAAAAGTGCCAAACAAATCTCGTATCTAGATTTATTGAACCAAACCCTACCATTAGTAGAAAAAAACGGGCCATGTACCATAACAGACCTTAAATCCAATCTTGAGTACTTGATAGAGAATGAGTTCGTTAAAAGAGAATTTGATGGCCAAACACTTTCTTATATACCCTAAATACACTTACATGAATGTAAATATTATTCTAGTGTTTATTATTTCAATGAAATCCAACTATGTAAATAAATATTATAGCACATAATTCCATATAACTAAGTATGCATAATTAGACAGGAACTTCTTCTGGGTCTGGATTGTAAACCCAGTGTTGACCAAAGTATGGAATTTTAGTGTAGAAAGTATCCTTGAATAATGGGATACCTTCGGTGAAAGTAGCAACACCTGCAGCAGCAGCACCTCCCCAGAGCATCAAGTTAGGTGCGTATTGCTTAATAAGTGGCAAGTTTAAACCAGCAATGGTTTTAACTGTCTTGTAGGTTGGAGCTCTAATGTACTTAATTTTTCACGTTAGTAAATTTTCATCTTATTACGTTTCGAACGAATTATCTCCCAAATGCTTAAGTCATTCTAGTAATAGAATAATACTTACAGAAACCATTCTTCAATATTTATTAAAGATAACTGTAGTTAGTTGTAGCAGATGTTTTATTATATCAATTATAGTGGATTAATTTAATTGGATTTCGATTGGCTGAAAAATAGCACGTGATTTGTTTATAGAGCTATGAAGTATACGATGTCTACCAATCTACCAAAGGATGAATCGTTCACAGAGCTGATAGCTCGAGAAATCTTAAGGTTCAACGGCTCGGAGGTTCATCTACAGTATCTAATTGTATACAATAATTTAAATTTTTGACTATAAAATACGGATATATAGCCATCACAAATGATGATGAAATATATATTAATTAACGTAGGTAGTGAAAGCAAGTGAAGCTTCGTCGAAAGGTTTCTATCATTCCAATTATGAACCACATTCAACCTGATATATGTACTATTGAAGCAAGAAATCACGATGGTAAAAATAAGAATAAAAAACAATGCATGTGTACTAACACGATTTCCGGCACGATTGTACTCCTAGACTCGTGGGACTCTTAACAAGCATCAGGCTGGGCGAGGATGTAGTCGACGGTTTGACCAACAGTCTTTAATGTGTCGGCTTCATGATCTGGGATTTGGATGTTAAATTCGTGTTCCACTTCCATGACCACTTCGACAACGTCTAACGAGTCCAAACCCAAATCTTGTACAAACGCACTTTCTTCAGTGATTTCCTTGGCGCTGTCGACCTTATCGTATCCTTCTAATAATTCCACAATTCTTTCTCTGGCAAGATCTCTAGATAAAGCTGGGAACCCTGCGTAGAAACGAACAAATGATGGTTTTGTTATGGAAATTGCTGCAGGTGCAATTGGCTGTCTAACTAATGGAGTTCTAAGGCTTCTGATTAAAGTAGATCTAAACATAATGTATCTAATGTGTTTGATTTGTAGTGTTTAATAGTCTGTTTAGTAAAATTAATCAGTTTTAAGTGGTTGTTGAATTTTTGAACATCGCTAACAAATACGCACGACCTTTTAATTCTGCGATTAATTTTTCAATGCCGGGACTTAAATCAGAATACTAACGACATTAGAGTAGACAAACGGCACCAAAGAACGGAATGATTAGATCATTGGTAAATATTTGCAAGACTCCAATCAAGTCTGCAACCACCTTCAGCAGAGTAGCACCTGTTACGTCTTATTTGGCATCTATCAGAAGTAATATTCCTATAAATAGCCAGTTGAATCTTTTGAACCAACAAAAAAGATATGCCACGTTAAACCAAATAAAGAGTGGTAGACATGGAAAACCTGTCAAGCCATACGTTTCCAAGGCACCACATTTGGATACAAACCCATTTAAGAAAGGGGTTGTTTTGCGTGTTATGATTGTGAAGCCAAAGAAACCAAATTCAGCACAAAGAAAGTGTTGTCGTGTAAGATTATCAAACGGTAACGTTATTTCGTGTTTAATTCCCGGAGAAGGACATAATTTACAAGAACATCATGTTGTGTTGGTGAGAGGAGGAAGAGTACAAGATTTGCCAGGTGTGAAGTATCGTTTGGTGAGAGGAGCATTTGATTTAGCAGGTGTGGCTAACAGAACTACGTCGAGATCAAAATACGGTGTTAAGAAGCCTAAGGATAGTTAGGTAATAAAGGTGCTGTACAAAGTATATGTTTTGATAAGTCTGTAAATATTTAATAAACTAAATTCGGTAAATTTATTGGTTTCTGTTGCACAAAACAAGTGTGAACAAATCGTTACTGATATACATAAAAGTCTAGTATGTTATTTTCAAGGCTCAAACCCTGGTTGAGTCGAATCTTCTACCACTGGCTGTCTTTCTGTTTTCAATCGCCTTACCGTCATTGTCGATGTTTTCTGGCTTAGCTCTGTTTAAGACCTTCAAGAATTCTTTAACTCTAAATCTCATTCTCGAATGCATGTAAGCTTTAGAACATTTAATATGATAATGGAAGTAATTTCTAAAAAACTGAATATGAGAAATACAATTATCTCTTCTGTCCCCTTTAATTAAATGTCTAGGAAATAAAACAAATGTAACGTAACCCTTGTTATCATCGTCATAATTCTTAACTACACGTTGAATATCCAATGGTGGTACCTTGTGGGAATATAATACTTGTGGGGCATTTTGAACTGATCTTTTTCTTGCATCGACAAATTCTTGGAGGAAAACTTTACCGAAGATTTTATCGGTTTCGTCTTTGAAAATAGTAGAGAAAATTACAGTAACTCTGTCGAAGGAAGGCTTGATGTAAATACTTTCATCTGAACCACGATAATTAATAGTCAATACCTGTTCATTCTTTAATTCACTTTGAATTTCCTCGGCATACGTGTTACTGCTAGCATAAGTTTCACTTAACTCGTCATATCTGCTAAAGGCCTGTTCGAATGGGGCAGCCATGCAATGTCTTTTCAAATATGATAAATCCTCAATCAATTGATTCTTAAATTCATCGTCTTTGCTACTTAATTGACTCAAATCTAACACCATTGAGTAGTTATAATTAGACTCGATATCTTTGCTGGGTAAAATGGTTAAAGGTCCTTCATATTTGGAATACTTGTTTCTCAAGTAGGCCTCGACTCCGTAATTGACTAAGTCACTCCAGCACTTTAAGTATACAGAAATAAGGATCAATTCTCTATTATCTGGTAATGTCGAAATATGGTACGTAGTAAAATCAAAATCGGAGACAATTCTATCTAAAGATTTCAATGGAGCATCCGGACTAGGAAAAATTCTATCCGTCAAAGTATTTTGAATCAATAAGTTATTATGTTCTATTTGTAACATTATAATTGTCTTTGAAGATGTTATTTCTGTTTTAGAGTATCCTTTATTGATCAAGGGTTAACTCGATTTCATAAAGAATAAAATGTCGCGCGACATGTCTGTATAATCTAGAGAGTATCTATGTCTACGAGATGTAACTAATTAGGCTAACATCTCTATAAAACTGCTAGTTGACGATGTCTCGATAATGTACTTCGATATTTAATATATACATACATAACCTAATTAATAAAGGACTATAACAATACATAACTACGAAGTTAGAAGAAATGAAGTAGAAGCCTTTTCAAGTTCGTCAAAGATTCTAATATCTTTGAATGTAAATCCAATCCTTCAACTGAGAATAGCAGATGTAATTATAATACAAAATGTGTTTGTTTCTTGTTTGTACTAATAATTAATAAATTAGCATAGCGGAAAATATAATACAAATATGTTTCGCTAATAAATTCTATTGAACATCATTAAATCATAATTATCGATTAACGCTGTTTCTATTCGAATTCATTAGTCCGCCTCTATGCAAAGCAGGAGCTTGAACCTTTCCTTTCAATAAAGAGCGGACACTCTCTTTTGGAGGTTTGGCAGTGGTAGTTGAGGAATTAACACTATTGGATCTGCTTAAATTCTTTTTGTTCTTTTGTTCTTCGAGCTCTTCCATCTTCTTTGTTACAAATTTATCCATATGAGGATCAACATCCCTATGATTCACCAACCATGGGTGCTTTAACAATGTGGCATATGAAGGTCTCAAATCGGGGTTTTTATTTAAACAGCTTTTGATAAACAATTGAGCATCTTTAGAAAATGACTTAGGATCCAATCTTGGAGGGTCCCCGTCAACGATGGCACTTAATTGGGAAAATATGTTACCATAAGTTTCAGCTGGATAAGGATAATGTCCTGCGGCAATCTCCAAAATACTTAATCCTAGAGACCAAATATCGGATTGAACAGAATAGGTATTGTCGGTTGGACTTAACGACTTAATTCTTTCTGGGGCCATATAGGACTGGCAACCAATATTAGTTTTCGCTAACGACGCAACTAAATTACCACTAACTCCAAAATCACATAACTTTACTTTTCCTAGACAATTAACCAAAATGTTCGTAGGTTTTACGTCTCTATGAATAATATTATGCTCATCCTTCAATTCCTTCAATCCTCTGATAACGCATTCGGTTATGTATGCAAGGCATGCTTCATCATTGACACCATCATCTTTGCCATATATCTTATCCAACGAACCTCCATCCATATACTCCATACACATATAAACAGCTCCTTCAACAAAGAAAGCTCCGTAGAAATCAACAATATATGGCGAATCACATTTATGTAAGATTTCCAATTCCATTAAGATTTGGGTGAATTTTGTTTCGTCCAATTCTAATCTAACTTCTTTCATGGCCATAAGTACACCCGTTGGTTTATGCAAGACCTTCAGAACAACACCATAATTACCATGTCCTAGTTCTTCTAAAAATTCCAATTCCTCTAACGAAATCCGAAACAGCAATCCTGACAGGAAATCAATCCCCTTTGAATGCAAAGAAGCCTTACCAGCAAAATTTAACGATCCAGATTTTATGTCGACGTATTTCGAATAATTTGCAAACAACCCTTGTAATTGAGGCTTCTTGGATTGATTTGATGCATTGTTAGTGGCCATGGTAGATGACGACCCAGAAGAATTCAACGATGAGACGGCAGAATTTGAATTTGAATTTGAAGACGATTGTGGATTCATTCCACTAATCCCAGGACCTCCTGCATTACTCAAATTCAATTTGAAGTTAGGTTTATTTTTTCTTTCTGACAATCTTCTTGTTAAGTCGCCGGTAGTGTTCATGGCACTGTTATCAATGATATTTCCCTTTGGTACGTTCAGAAGCTCCAGGTTCTCTTTACCATCACCTATAGGACTCGTGTCATCTGGAGAACTAGCACTATTGGGACTACTCATTTCACTTAAATTAAGCTTCATTCCTCTTCTTTGAGATAAAGACGGCTTCTTCAGTAATTCAAATGGTAGTTGTTGTGATTCTTGTTTCTTTAAGCTCGACGTTCTAGAAATACCTTGACCCATAACTTGACCCATAGATTGGTTCATACTTCGGTTCATACTATGATTCATATTCTGCTTATTTTCTATTTCCATCGGAGAAGGAATCATACATGCATCGCTAGTATCTCCCAATGAGTAAGACCTTTGTTGTGCCAGCATAGTAGGCAATGAGGGTAAAGGAGGCAATGGTGGTAATGGTTTGTCTGGCGCTTCACTCATGTGGCTGGTAGATTTTGACATTGTATTCAACGCCCCATGTGCCCCATTCACTGGTTTTGTTCTCTTTTGCTGAAACGCCAATATTCTGGCCTGAATATCACCATTTATCTGTGAATGTGATACCCTCTGTGGCGACTGAGTGCTCTCAGTATTGGCCGCCTTAGGCGTTTGAATGTTTAAATTTTCAAAACCTGGACTCAAGTTGTCCGATGTATCTTTTGCATCACTCATTGATGTGTGTTGCTATTCTGTTCGTAACCTCACCTTTAACCGACGTTATGATGGCAGAATGACTCGAAATTTGCTAGTATTGATGTAGATGTGTTACAATAGCACCTCGACGTCTATGTCTCTATAATGTATATCCCTTTGCTTATTTGCGTATCGCCAAATAACCAACACTGACTAGACACCTTCTGCTATTCGTAAATAGGTGTTTTGTTTAAAAAAATTCAAAGTATTCTGCTGTGTTAAACCCGACTGTTCTTTGTTTGTTGTCGAAATTTTCTTATTCGTTTCTTGGTTACACTAAAATGGTGTCAACGCCTAAGTTGTTTTACGAATAATCAACTCTTCCCTTTGTTATAATAATACTCTTGAAATATCTATAAATTTATTCCCACGTTAACAATCTTGATAATTTTACTAAATAATTCTATGTGTTTTCAAACCGATTCTGTTTCAGAGAATTATTTTGTGAGTATTGGAGAATTTATTTTTAATTACTAACTGAAAACTATGAACCTAAATGAAAGCAAAATATACGGGTACTTGGTGGAGAAAAGACCTAAAGACAGTATACAGCGATGTATGTAAACGTACATCAAAGAACGTTCGAACTAGCTAGTTTACGTAGCAATTGCAATATGGGCCCATGCTATTGTCACCGTCCCGTCCCATACAATCCGAAAAGGCGCACTTGGGAGCTTCAATACAGGCTGAACATCAGTAACCCCTGCGTTTCTATCCACACATTTGTTTTAGTAGGAACATCGAAACACCTATTGTGAGCAAACCAATTGGTAGATTAATAAACCTAGTATCCGTAATTCTATTGTAGGCGTATGTAGAGTTTGGTAGCATAAACCCTAAGTCTGTAGAGGCGTCTCCCAACTGCGAACCACTGACATTAGCTAGTTGTCTCAAATCGAAAGATGAAGCCGCGAAGTGCCATTACGACGTATCGCACATAGCACATTTGGGGCCGCTCCATTCCGCTTACGACCCAAAATGGACGGGATTCCTTTGGTACTACATATTAAGATAGCTACAGGTGTACGAATGGATTGGTAATACGATATAGTCGGTGTAACTAATTCTGGATCTCCACATGAACCGTATGGGATTCTTCGGATGCCAGGGTATGTGATATGCGGGTCACAAGACGCCTCTAAGAGCAATCATTCGCTAGTTATTAGGATGATTAATAAGACTTGGTGAAAAATAAAAACGACCGAGACATTTGGCGACATGACGAAAAATACCCATCGAGGTATTGTCGATATTACGACATTTTCCGGTTTCGTGGTGCCGCTTACGGGATTATTCGCCCAATAGGTTGCATAAGTGGCTGCGAACGTCGTATTGTTAGCATGCATATAACCCATGGGTAAAGAAAAAAGATATTTGTGGCGTTTCAGTAGGAATAGGCTGGATAAGCCAGTAGAATCAATTGGGTTGGGTGTGGAAGAATTGCTTAATAAAGGATATATGCCGCAGAAGTCCGCCTGATGTACTATTTCATTGCTCAGTTAGTCCATGGTTCTTGATGGACAGAAAAGAACATAGGATTACTGTATACGGTGCAAGCGAAACCTAGAAAGAGATTTAGTTACGAGAAGGTCAATTAGGGGCTTATTTTTGTTCATAAATCGGATAATTTATCAGATTGATCCCGTACAAAGTATGCAAGGCCTTATTAGATTGCAGACTAACTTAGCAGCTGAAACGCAAATACGCCATGTAAAAAGCGCGGAACGGGAAAGATAAAAGGCATCCATACCGATAGTGGATCTTTGTAGTCGCTGTAGTATACCTCATACGTTGACGCCGATGCGATGTCCTGAGGCAAACAGTAGGGAAAGGCATATTGAGATAAAGACTACGACCTAATTAGGCAGCTGTACTATGAGGCGCCGCGGATTAGGAGTGCTGGATACTGATGACAGGAATCAATACGCAAGCTCACAGTATGATGACTTCTATTTTCTGGTACACCCTTCATGGTGGGATATTGATTTTCGCCTGGGCACTAATTTTTCAATCCCGATTATCGTTAGAAAAGGGGTATACTCGTATAATAACCCTCTGGCAATAGGAAACCAACACCCGTGTTAAGTGTAGTGGATCATCAGGAGCATTTTTATGGTGTTGTTCTAACGGCTAATAGCGCTATTGGACCCTACATGAGCGATGCTACATTACACGTCCAGATCAACGATTACGATACATATCAGACACATTCACTGAAGCTAGATCAATTGTACAATGATGTTGTTCAGGTACCTATCATAAGAATTTTTGGATCGTTGTCTGTGGGTATAAATGATGGCGATGAAAGAAGCGATAATGGTCGTACGAAGCATAGCGATTCAGATAATACGGTCAAATTCCACTCGTACAATGTGTTAGTTCATATTCACAATTACTACCCGTATTTGTACGTTGATTGCTTTGAAAATGAGGCATTATTGAAGTCGGAAACCTATATAAGCCAGTTGGTGGAATACCTTGAAAACAGCTTACAGCAGTCATTTCGTCGAAAGAAGGGTGAAGAAGAAGAAGAAGAGATGATAGACGTGGATGTCGAATCGAGTGGGGGGAAAAGAAAGTTCATTGCCAAGGTGGCAATATGTAAAGGTTCTCCAATCTACGGATATCAAGTTGGATACAAGCTCTTCTACAAGATCTCGTTACTTTCTCCGTTATACAAAACCAGGCTTACCACGCTTTTCCAGGACAAGCACATCAATATTTGCGAATTCAGCTCTAGTTTTGACAAAGGTACGAAAAAGTCATATGCTGTAAATATATACGAGGCACATATTCCATATTTGCTTCAGTTTTTAGCTGATTTCAATTTGTTTGGATGTGGGTGGTTAGAAATCAACAATACTTATTTCAGATACCCCATTTTGAACGATAATACCGATATAGACACTAGTCACCTTCAATCGTATTTGAAACTGTTCATCAAGCATAACAATATACTCGATGGACTAAATTTCGCTCGGATTGGCAGGTCTTTGTTAGAATTTGATATCAAAACAGAGAGCATTCATAACAGAAGCTATATAAAACAGCGACATTTGCACCATGAGTTCGTTGAAAATCGGCGTTTTAATTCTGGGATACTGAACAATGAGATATATTTATCTTCATTAAATCAGATTTACAAAGATTTGAAATATCAATGTGAATCAAGAGGCTCAAGAATGACTGAATCGCAGTTTTCGCAGAATAATTTAGGTTTGGGTGGAACATTCTGGGAAAATCAATCTGATTTAAACGATTTGATGAACTATGTTATTTTTCTTACTAAACCTAGCCCTACCAATAAATTAGATACATATTTCAAGAAATTCGTTGAGTCTGATAAGTTTTCTAAATTCCCAACAGCATTTGAGTTAATCGATATTGAGAAGGTCTCCAATCCGTCTGGTGGCATTTCATTATTGAATTTCAATGACGATCTAATTAAATGGAACATTTATTCGTTCTTATTTGAGGATGTAGTGATACCCAAAAATATCGCTACGCGTGAAGAAAATACTGATATACGTGATGATATTATACGCGATTCCAAACCTTCGTTAGATTTAGAGTTTGATAGTGATGATTTCACGGATTCTGAACGTGCCAATCCTGATGATGAAGCCGAGAAAAATGATACCGACCCTGCAGAACATGATCGTGGTCGGAATCAGCCTAATCAATCTGACCATGAAATAATGTTTGAAGTAAGTCAAAGGAAGAGGAGGAGAACGTCGGTTTCTCAAACGTTGGAGGAAGGTGAATCAATTTTACAAGTACCTAGTTCACCTCACCATGTTTTTAACGAAATAACTAATCTCAAACAAACCAACAATCTCCCTGACCTAATGGGTTCGTCTCATGGTAGACATTTTTATGAGATCTTAAAACCACAAGCATTAGACCGTAATCGTATAATGAAAACTTTCGATGATCAACATCTATTAAAGGTCCATTACACTGATCCATACTATGACAATGAATCCGATATGCCTTCTAGGCGTATGATATTCGCTAATAAGAAAATTAATATCCCCCTTATCAATTATAACACGCTTGAAACGTTCAAAGTGAAGGCGGGTTCCAGTTCATTACATATGTCCCTGATGATTCAACAAACTCTAAGTGATTCAAGTTCGTCAAAAATTAGCCCATGTGTGAGAAACATCTGTTCCTGGAGATATGTTGCTGAACCACCTCCTAAGGTAGAAATTCAGAAATGGGTCGCTGTAGAGGAAGCTAAAATGAAATATAAGCGATCTAAATTCCGATCTCAGATCGAACCACCAATTACTCAAACTAATGACTACAAATTTTCATACAGATCGGAAAAGGTGTCTCGTAGGCCAAATTCCTTCAACTCACTAACTAATTTCCATTTAGAAATCCATGTTAATACTCATAATGATCTATTACCTAACCCAGACGTGGATCCTATTACCATCATTTTTTATACCTTTAGTGATTCAAATCATATGTTCGACAAAAATAATAATAAAGTCGGCATTTTGATTTATCATGAACCAGACTCTCTGAGAGAAGATTTTGCTAAGCAATTAGAGAAGGTTTCAAATTTCCTTATCGAAAAGCCTGCAGTCGCAATATTTTCTGATGAAAAGTCGATGATTGATAAACTCATTTGGCTTGTTGAATGCTTTGATCCAGATATATTATCTGGATATGAGATAAACGCATTGTCATGGGGCTATGTCATAGAACGGTTTCGAAATGCTTACGACATAAATTTATTGTTTGAATTCAGTCGTTGTAAGTTTAAAAGCAATGGCAAGTTCGGTGATAGATGGGGATATACCCATACTTCTGCGTTTAAAATTAATGGACGCCATATATTGAATGTATGGAGATTATTGAGATCTGAATTAAGTCTTACAAATTATTCTTTGGAGAATATATCGTACCACTTGCTCCATCAAACGTTACCAAGATACCTGAGTTTTCAATTAAGTCAATGGTATTCTGGAAATGATTTTCTGGAGTTGTTGTCTGTTTTCAAGTACTATTTGAAAAGGGTTCAGTTAATAATGAAAATAATTGATATTCAAGAGTTGATAACGAGAAATGTTGAGCAATCCCGGTTAATTGGAATTGACTTCAATTCTAATTTTTACAGGGGGTCCCAATTTAAAGTTGAATCGATTTTATGTAGATTAACAAAGGCAGAGAATATATTGTTAAATTCAGTTTCCAAGCAGCAGGTTCATGAAATGAGACCTTTAGAATGTATTCCTTTGATTATGGAGCCTGACTCAAATTTTTACAAGTCTCCTTTAATCGTTTTAGACTTTCAATCTTTGTATCCATCAATTATGATTGCTTACAATTATTGCTACTCGACTATTTTAGGTAAATTACATGGTTTTAGCCCAAAGAAGAACATTATTGGCTACTTGAAAAACCTAAAATTACCACCTGGGTTAGTTGATTTATTTGCCAAAAACGATGGTTTAAATATTTCTCCTAATGGTTACGTATTTGTTAAGTCATCTATTCGAAAGTCTATGTTAGCTAAAATGCTTGAGGAAATTTTGAATGCTAGAATCAATGTTAAATCTGTAATGAAATTATTCAAGGATGATCCAGAGCTAATAAAGTTATATAATTCACGTCAATTGGCCTTAAAATTAATTGCAAATGTTACCTATGGGTATACTTCTGCAACTTTTAGTGGCAGAATGCCAAATTCTGATATTGCTGATGCTATTGTCTCGACTGGTAGAGAAATTTTAAGTCAATCAGCGGATTTTATTGAACTGACAGATTACGGAGCCAAAGTAATATATGGTGATACTGATTCTTTGTTCGTTTATTTACCAGGTAAGACTAAGCAAGATGCTTTCAAAATTGGCAACGAGCTTGCAAGCTTTGTAACAGATAAATTCCCGGATCCTATAAAGCTAAAATTCGAAAAGGTATATCATCCTTGTATTTTGCTAGCTAAGAAAAGGTATGTTGGCTATAGTTATGAGTATGAAGATCAACATGAACCAAAATTCGATGCAAAAGGAATAGAAACAATTAGAAGAGATGGTATACCCGCTCAACAAAAAATGGTTGAGAAGACAATTAGGATATTATTTGAAACTAAAAATTTATCGTTAATCAAGAAGTATACAATGGAACAATTTTACAAGATTTTAATTAACAAAGTTTCCATAAAGGATTTCTGCTTTGCAAAGGAGGTACGATTTGGAACTTATAAAAATGAGGCACATTTACCCCCTGGTGCTATTGTAGCTAATATGAATGTGAATAAAGACCCCAGAAATGAGCCTCAATATCGCGAAAGGGTTCCATACGTTGTGTTCCAAGACTCTTCGAAAATCCGAGTAAAAGATAGATGTATATCGCCAGAGGATTTTATTAAATCATACAATACACTGAAACCTCTAAGCTTGGATAATGAATACTATATTACGAGGGTTTTGATTCCTCCATTAGAACGTATTTTTAATTTGATTGGAGTAGATATCAAAGGTTGGTATAAAGAATTGCCTAAATTCAACCATGAACTATTTGAAACGAAGAATAATATTTTTCAGTTTGCAAAGTTTATCAAATCAAATTCCTGTGCATGCTGTGGCTCGAAATTAAAAGAATATTCTAGGTCTAAATATATTTGTTGCCAATGTCTAAATAATGAATTAGAACTAATCGCAAATGTTTCGATGTCCTCTAAGTTAGGTGAATTTAAAGAATTAGCAGCTGATAAGACTTGTGAATTATGCGTGAATATGAATTATGAGGGGTTGGGCTCTGGAACTATCAGAAACTGTATGAATGAATGTGTTAATAATAACTGTCTGGTGTATTATAATAAGATCAGGGTAACAAAAGAAAAAGGTCAATTAGACGAAAAGCATTCGCACCTATTAAGTGATTTAGAATGGTGATCTGAAATTAAATATACCTAAACTAATATCGATTAAATTTAACGAACTTTGATTATAAACTAATAAGACGCCTTCTTAAGAGGTGCATCGTATTTAACTTTAGTGTAATCCCAGTAAAATGTTAAATCACTGGTAGCATTACCAATTTTACACAGTTTGGCGTAATCAACTCCTTCCAACCTATTTTTCACTATTTCTTCGAATTCAGTCATACTGCATGAGAATCCTGGGCCGGAAGTACAATTATTGATTGGAATAACTGAATCATTAACAATATACCTGATATAACTTCTGTTCGAGCATTTAAGTTTTTCTGTATAAACCCGTGCTCCTTGTGGGACAATATGAGAACGAACGTATGGATTAATGAATGGTATATGATCAGCAGGTAAAGGATGATCTGGCTCGAATAAGCCCAATCCACCGCATATATAATTGGTTATATCAGTATCGTGAGTAAACGACATAAAAATTTTGTTGAGCAGAGTTTCGTCTTTTAACAATTGTAAGGATGCATTTAAGAGTACCGATCCGATTGGCTTTATGACCGAGTTACCTGGACCGTCTGAATAATAATCTGAGAGATCGACAGAATATTCATATTTAATGAATTCTTCGTTGGTAAATAAATCGCAGAACGGTGATTCACCTTTCACATTGATTTCATACGCGCACCAACCAAACATGTTATAAACATCATCGGTAGTCAAATTCAATTCTGGGTTAAGTTTTAAAAGTCTTTTTAATGCATTATCAAGGTATTCATTAGAATACTGGCTCAAAATATTATTATTCTCCTCTGAATCCCACGCACTGCACGCACTTGCAGGAGTCAAGCTATTTGCACCCATTTCGCTACCTTCAGATAAAATGACAGTGTCAACTTTTCTCTCATCATACTCTTGGCCCATAAAGCCTCTAATAAAACTTTGAGAAGTATCGTATACTCTAGTATTACTTGTGGTAAAAACAGGAATACTATTTGAGTCATTGTATAAAGAGTTGTATCTCGCTCTAAAAGCCGCACCATGCATCAAGGCATTTGTGGTGCCAGCATAGGGACTATGTGAATTCGAAGGACTTACTTCGAGATCATACATATCCAGATTTGATACGAAATAAGTATAGTCGTTCAAGAATGATAATGGTCCTTTAAACGTGCCATTGTAATCTTCAAATTTCTGCATAATGTGTTCATATTGCTTTCCAGCGTTGGAGCTGGGAAACCTCTCACCATGTCTCAGAATCAATTGCACTTGCTCAATTGTGCATTGATCTGGTACATCTGTTGAAATACCATGGCCTGGGTTTTGAATGTAAGGTCCAGCACCACCTAGAAACCGGACTACATTATACTGTTCGACTGATGCCTGTTGAGGGTTCGCAACATCTTGATATGCACTTTGGCCAACCAATAAGAATCCTCCATGTAGGATTGTAGATATAGAAACCATTGTTAGATGAAAGAGTTTAATTAAAAGAAAAGTAAAATTGTAGATTTATTTGTAAACAATATCAATAAAAAATTATATGCTAGCTCTAAGCGCATGAAATATTCGCTTACAGATACAAATGCAAAAGCCATACAGCTTAATGAACTTTTATCATAGCATATAAAGCTAATATACATCGGCATTTAATAGAGCATGGGCTATCTAAAGTTGTACCTGATATAAATATTTCCAATTAAAAACTCTTCTGGTTTTCTCGTTAGACATGGGTCTTGTAATATCCTATAGCTTCTTTGGTTGAAAATTTCTTTACAACATTTTCTAGTAGATCAAGATAATACCACATTGTATTCGAACGTAATCTAACAATAATCATCGACAATTAAGCATATGGCTACACGACTAGACTGCTAAGCGATTTTAAAGAATTATGTCGATCTATTATCATACACAGCTTAAGCATATAGTCCTATATATTTAGTAATCCCTTTGCAGATGCCAAAAGCGCTTCTTTAAGTGGAATTGGTTCCCAATTGAATACTCTCTTGGCTTTCTCGTTAGTCGATGGTCTCTTAGTATCTTTCGTCCCTTCTAATTCCTTAGTTGGTAGATTTTTGGTATACTCAGCCGGCAAGTTTTCAGCTAGAATATTAGCTACATCTAAAAGTGAAATGTTTTCACCGGTATTCAAGATAAACCTATTCCCTTCGGCCTCTGGAGTCTGCAAAGCTAGAACGTGAAGCTTAGCCACGTCTCTCACATCAATGGCACTTAAATACAAGTTCTTGCATCCATCAGCAAATGTACCATTGAGTAAGAAGTCAATTGTTTTCAAAGATGACGAATTATCAGGACTCTTCTTCAAAGGAGGCCCAAAAATGTAGGATGGGTTCAAAACGGTTAAAGCTATTGGACTTTGAGCATGAGTATTGGCATCACTCTTAACAAACTTCCAAGCTTCTATTTCAGCAACAGTCTTTGACTTAACGTATGTTGCATTAGTTCCCTCAAGATTCGTAAAATCGTTTTCGTCGAAAGGTTTGGAACGTTCTGCATGTCCATAACCTACGGCTGCGAAAGACGATGTAAGTACAACACGGTTAACGGACGGGAACGAAGTAGCAAACCTC